TGAACTTTTTTTTAATTATAATCAGTCGACTTGAGAGTAGCTATCTTCATTGAATTGTATTCATCCGTCCATTAATACCCCGTTACCAAATTTGTATTCTAATGCCGACTCCAGAGTATCTCCAATCAATTATCTTTACCCGACTCTGCAATCAATTATCTTTGTCCGAGTTTCAAATCCCTACGTTCACTTTGGTGTGAATTACTCCGACTTTAGAATCGATTTCTCTGATCCAATATTTTCTTCTTCAGATTTAATCTTTCCTTTACTATATATGATTTAATTCGTCAGACTTAATTAATTAATATAATTCCTCAGATTTAATTTAATTCATCATCTGACCAGCTTGAGCACTAGCATAACTTATTAGAAAGTTCTCATTCAAAGCTCGAGAGGCTAATTTGCATGAATGTATTATTAAATCCTTGAGTGGTTCACTGTTCCTGAACTTTTCTTTTCAACTGATGATCTTGTAGCCAAAGTACTTTTATTTCATTTACATCAGAAGCTCAAGAGATTTATTTGGATCTCAGACTGAATTAGCTAGCAATTTTTACTGTGGAAGTTTCTTCAGAGAATTATTAGTTGATACTTCGCAACAATTCTATCTTCTAATCACATTCTTTTATTATTTAACTAAATAGTCATTATCATGTTGAGAAAAGGAATTAATGTGATAAGTAAATGAGCAAGTGATTTGAACATGTTCAAATAAACTCAAGATCAAATTATCATGCATGTTAATTTTTAATTTCCATTCAGTGAACTATTATGGTAGATATGGCAATAACTGCTTGAGGTTTTAAAATTAACTTGTTTCATGTTTATTGATATAATTATTAAATATTATATAAAGATTAGTTTCAACTGACTCACTTTACCGGTTGACAGCCAAATTTCAATAGAAATTTCGAACTTAGTTCAAAAGTAACTTCTACATTAATTAATCATTTCTCATAATAGATTTATTTCTCCTGAATAGAAAACGTAGAATATTTTATTAAAAATTTCATTAGCAATCATACGGAACTGCAATTTTCAGAACGACTTCAATCTGTATTGACGACACAAAGTTTAGTACTTTCATGTCACAACTTCGATTTAATACTACTTCATCCGATAGAAAATTTATTTCTGCACTAAAATTTCATGAGATAGTTGGAGCAAAATTTGCAGGGCTAACAGGATGTTTTTCCTCATATGGCCACTCGACGATGGAGATCTTGACCACAAACATTTCAAAGTTGGCGTCTAGTGATCAAAATGGCGGTTCATGGGTTATTGAACACAATTTATGTTTCAAGTGCTCAAAAAAGGTAATCTGCACTGGCGTAATAATTTTTTATTGTAACCAATTTACAGCTGCATTAAAATGAATATAGAGGGTTCACATTTATTTCTTACACGCACTTTATGGTGGTTATGTTCTAGAACGCTTATGGTGTCTTGATGAAGGGTTAAATTGAAATAATTAAATTTTCCTATGATTGAAGTATTCATAAAAATATAAAAATGGATAATTAAATTATGAGGGCTCATAAAATCTTCTGAATTTTATCTATTTATAAAATCTATCTAATTTATAAAATCTACTGAAAAATTATAAAATTAATTCTAATTTTAAAAATTGAAAGCTCGCGTAAATAATTTCTATTTCTAACCATTTGAACCTATTTGGCTTCGATACAACCTGACTTCAGCTCGACTAAGAAAGATCATAAATAAGTTTTTCGCCCAAATGCATTTTTCTGTGCCTATAACACTGAATATCAATGCTATCGAATGCCATTGAATATCAAAGAAATGTATAAAAAAAGAAGACATGAATTTTTGGAATCCAACTCTCCTTCATCATGCAACGGCAATGTGAATCGGTATCACTGATGCAGAGCGATACGATTGACTAGACAATATTTCTCAGTTGCCAAGGGAGTAGCCGCTATTGGATTGGAAAAAGCACCACAGACTGACAGGAAGTTCTTTACAAAGGAATATACGACAAGAAAGTTTATTGCGAACACGGCCTGAAGCTGCAACTTGAAAGCGGCACCAGTGCTGCTATCAGTGCGCAGTTTTAAATATGCTAAATGGGAGAAATACTTCTTAACTCTTGCGGGAAAGTTGATGGAAGTAGAATAGAATTAGCATGGTATTTCGGGAGGCCGTTTGACTGCACCTAAAATCTTATCATATAAGTTGTTTACTATTGGGAAATACATACTTCTAGTTAACATAATTCATTTTTTTCAGCGCTCGTTAACTGAATGATCATTCATTAAATAATGGAATATAATGAATCAAAATATAAAAAAATGAACCAATGAGTCGTGTTTTCAACTAGAAATTTGACTGATTATTCAACCTATTAAACAATGATTTTTTTCAATGGCGGTATTTGCTAAACAGTATGAATAAATTGCAGGCGCTTACATCATCATTTTCCTCCATCAAAATACTATAAAAACCGTTAGATAAAAGTGGACCAAAAATAAAAGTCTCAATATCTTACAACGATCCGAAAATTTTAAAATTTCTCCTCTGAATAGTTTATAGCTCATTTTCTCGATTTGATTTTACTTGGAAGAACCTAGAACTTCGATGAAAAAATCAAAATTTGAAATTATTTTCAAGTAATTTTGCCCAAATTGTGGCGGACGATGTTTGCTAAAGTCACACATCACAAATTCCTACGTAATTTTATAACTAACTTGGACAAAAACTTCATTTTTAAAGTTACTGTAGCATCATTGACATCAATATTTTTGGCTGTTATAAACTTGGGAAGTACTCCTTTCATTTCAAAATATTTTTCTTTATTTTGTTGCAGTGAAATATGTTAAGTTGATGAGAAATTCAATGAGTATGATAATATTTAATTCATTGAAAACATGAATGAATTCACCTTCAAATATTACGATTATCATTGGCTACTCCGATAAATTATCCTATTCATGCTTCGAAAAAGATTCCACTCACACTCTAGTGCAAGTTTGAATAACGAGTTTGAATACAACTTTATCTTAACTATTCTTCAAATTAACAATTTGTAAAAAAGTTAAATTACAGCCATATAGAAAAATGCAAAATGGAATGTCTTTCTAGGAAGATTTTATTTTCACCTCTTAAATAGCATGGAATTTTCTGTAGGTGAAAATATACAAAGATCAATTAAGTGATGCTTGAAATTTTTTAAAGGATTCTCTCCTAAGTGTGTATCTCAATAGAATTTTATCTCTGAGTTGCAGCATTTAAAATACAATATAACTGCACAGTCTTGACATGAATGAAAAGTTATACTTCAAAATAACAACTTTTTCCCCCTGGCACAACCCATTCCCCCCTCCTCCTGAGCCCATTCCCCCTGATAATACTGAGGACGCAGTTACGTCCTCAGTATTATCTTGCGTGCCATGCCCAGTATTATCTTGCGTGCCATGCTCAGTATTATCTTGCGTGCCATGCTCAGTATTATCTTGCGTGCCATGCTCAGTATTATCTTGCGTGCCATGCTCAGTATTATCTTGCGTGCCATGCTCAGTATTATCTTGCGTGCCATGCTCAGTATTATCTTGCGTGCCATGGCTAAATCCAAATCATTCCTCTTGTTAGGTTCAATGGAGGCAGCGATCCATCAACCCTTGAAGTTCATGCGCTGTCGGGCTTCTAAGCCTCAGAAAACGATGCCATAACTTCAGCACCGCCCCAAAATTCTGGCAAATTCTCAGTGACTTTTTTACGTGATGATGATGAGAGATATCCACGCAGGCCGGGGCACGAAACACAATCATTTTAGCCAATTTGCTTTCCGATATGAGTCTGATTTGAAAATTTCGTTATTAACTAATAGCTTGTTAATAAATGTGAGCGTAAATACATATCAGGCGAACAGATTCATTTGCAAATGAGCTGAGCTACATTTTCGTAGTAAGATATTTTGATGATTACCTATATATTTCTAGCACAAACTTCTCTGATAATTGTCATATGAGCCTTTATCTATTTCAAAACAGATTTTTTTATTGTTCAAAGTTGAAAAGATATCAAAGTCGAAGTATTGAATATACATATTGGATACATAACTTCATATAAAAAATTATTATATAGCTCTTGGTAAGCTCTAAAATGTGCTCCTTGAAATGATTAATTTATTTTCTAGAATTTCCAGCCTTATAAAAATCTCTCAAGACTACACTAGCTTTCAATGAAACTGAGATTTACTCAAGATGCGCGCAAGTGAAATGACCGTAGCGTCTTCATGTGCACCTTGGGAGTGATTCGCCTACTTTACAAGCTAAAGAGAATAGAATTTCAGACCAAAAAATACCTGCGTAGAATAAGAGATTCTTAAGAACCTATATATACTATAAATATATAATATAATCAACTTAAACAATAATGAACAATATTATAGAATATAATAAAGGCATAGAAAAACATTAAATTGCACTTTGAAGAAGAGGTTATCTTGAAACGGGAAAACATTCGATCCAGCTGTAAAGCATTTTACTATCAAATTTTAAGCAAAATACCAATGCAATCGAAGCACACAAATACGAGTTTAGAAAAACTTATTCAAAAATGTTGCTGTCATATTAAATAATACAAATTTTAACGCTGCGACAGAACATATTATTTATTTGAGAAGTTTAATAAAAACTCCAACTTGCTTTTGACCATCTAGGGAACATAAACAAGTAAGCTCTTGCTCAAAATGTTTATCAATAATTCGAAACTATTCTCAACATTAACCATTAAAACTTTTTGATAGTTATAAAATCTTAGGAAACCACGAATCAGAATAAAACCATTAATTATAAAATAGGATTAAATAATATTCCTTGAATGTCCACCTATTCGAGGACTATAGGCATATAGGCATCAAAATATCTCCTCATTAGTGAACAACCGTCAATTAATCTAAAATGGAAGGTCACGTATAACTTGTGAACCCGCAGCGTGTGAACCGGCAACGCGTGAACCGGCAACATGTGAACTGGCACCGGGTGAACTGGCAACGTGTGAACCGGCAACGTGTGAATTGGCACCGGGTGAACTGGCAACGTGTAAACTGGCAACGTATGAACTGGCAATGTGTGAACCGGCAAGTGAACTGGCAACGTGTTAACCGGCAACTTGTGAACTGGCAACTTGTGAGCCGGCAACGTGTGAACCGGCAACGTGTGAACCGGCAACTTGTGAATTGGCACCGGGTGAACTGGCAACGGGTGAACTGGCAATGTGCGAACTGGCAACGTGCGAACCGGCAACGTGTAAACTGGCAACGGGTGAACTGGCAACGTGCGAACTGGCAACGGGTGAACTGGCAACGGGTGAACTTGTGAACTGGCAACGTATGAACTGGCAACGTGTGTACCGGCAACGTGTGAACTGGCAACGTGTGAACTGGCAACGTGCGAACTGGCAACGTGTGAACCGGCAACGTGTGAACCGGCAACGTGTGAACTGACAACGTGTGAACCGGCAACGTGTGAACCGGCAACGTGTGAACCGGCAACGTGTGAACCGGCAACGTGTGAACTGGCAACGGGTGAACCGGCAACGTGTGAACTGGCAACGTGTGAACTGGCAACGTGCGAACTGGCAACGGGTGAACTGGCAACGGGTGAACCGGCAAAGGGTGAACTGGCAACGTGTGAACCGGCAACGTGTGAACCGGCAACGTTTGAACCGGTAACGTGTGAACCGGCAACGTGTGAACCGGCAAAGTATGAACCGGCAACGTGAGAACTGACATAAGAGTTCACTAGCTTATCAAATTACTATTCCGCGTCGGTCGTTGAAAATCAAGTTTACAAAAATCTAAAAAAAATTTCTTCAAACCTCATTGCAAACACTATTCTTCTTCTACTGGAACTGGCAAGGGCTAAAACCACATTGAATTTGCAGAAGGTCAGTTCCTTTCTTGCCGGGAAGCTGGACTTGAGCTTTGTCTGGTAATTCGGCAAAATGAATTCATGAGAATAATGTAGGTCTTAAGTGCTTATGAATTCCGTAGCATTACTTTCCCGTAGTACATTACTAATGCTATAATTACTGCTTCCACAATCTGTAATACTATAAAATCGTTTTCTTTGGCATCGTATCTTTTTTTAGACAATGATTCAAGTTTAATCGAACACCTTCATCCTCATGTGAAGATTTTTGTTTTCAGGAAGCTGGCAGTAAAAATTTCAAGATAAAAAATTAGAATAGTCGATCGCGTCGTATTTTGGTTTTCTGAAGCAAGTTTTACATGCAAGAAAGAAGTTCGAAAGCCCAAAAATTGAAAACACTACTGACTATTTATGCAAAACTGCAATCGGGATGCGCTGGTGGTGACGCACTAGCATATCATGAATGAGGGCAAGGCAATTTCAGCGCAATGATGAAGCCTCGTTTGCCAGATCTCATTAGAGGCAGCGCACCGCGGCTAATTACAGACGTCCTTTAAATGGCAATAATGAAGCGTCATTCACGCTTCGTGGACGCAAGAATCTAAGTAGTTTGTCTCTCAACACTGAAGGATTATTCAATGGAACTTAGCAGATACGCTAATTGCTATATGCAGAATCAGTATCTGAGATCAAAGAAAAATGTTCACAGCAATTTATCCCCTTGAAAATATTTCTTTGGTGCTGTTGCATTTTGTTATCGGTGTGACGCCCAGCGCAAATCATAGAGTATTTTTTCGTGAAATTTATATGCGGTGGTACGTTCGTATTGCGCGAAAATACGACCTGTATATCACCGAACGAAATATAAAGAATTTTATCACTCCAACTCACGTCAAATTTCAATTTTCACCGAATAAACATATATCCTAAATAAGGCTCAGTGCAAGATCCCAGCATTTTTATCATAGTCCAATAGGAACCCGTGCTGCTGGAGACCGCAAAAACGACAGCATCTGTCCAGTGGGATCCGAACAGGGCCTAGGAATTTTTTAATCTTGACATGACTGGGACATGTAGAATAAGCAAGCTTGCTCTGTATGGTTCCAGAAGCCAATAAAATGCTCGCTGCTATTCCCACGCTAAGCCCATCCGGTATTTGCTTGCTGTGTGGCACTGTCACGGCAAAATAAATTCTGCTTTGGATTTTCTTTTCGGTGGCTGGAGTGAGAACGCAATACAGATAATGGGCTGAATATTCATGAATTTAGCTGAAGGAAAACTGAGAAAATGTTGGGTGGTCAGGTATTCCCCTTAAGCACCATATTCACGCTTTGAACGTCGCCAAAATGTAGCTCGTCTTGCAATCCAATTTCTGAAATTATTATTTCATACTTTATCACGTGCATAATGCGTATGTAATTCGATATAAATGTTACTGCATTTTGGAAATTTGAATTATTTAAAATGCTATGAAATGATTTTTCGAAATATGACAACATCTTACTGTGTCTATAATTTCAAAGAATTCAAAGAAATGAATATCTTCGTCTTTAATTTTGAATATTCGTCTTTAAATTTGAAAAAAATTATCTAACTTCGGTTCATGTTGATTGTTTAGAATTTAATCAGTATATTTTTACGGTTTCTGGAGAAGTTAACTCGAAAATAAGCATTAAATCAGAATAATGATCATCGTTACATAAATTATGAATATAACGCATTGAATAAGATAATAAAAAATTAAAATTTAATTGAGAACGATCTCGGATGAGTTTTGCTTTCTTACTTTTTTCGCCACAATTTACTCGGAAATGTAAATTGAACTTCATTAAAAATCCGCATCTTTTATTTACAAGCTACACTATTAGACACAATTTGTTATAAGTCAATATATGTTCAGCCAAATAAATTTCCATTTTCGAGAAATATGTTATTTTACATCATCGTACACACCTGTTCCTTATCTTAACCACGATTCGTACCGAAATTATGTCACTCACTAGGCAGGAAAATATCTTCGCTGGATTGCGTTAAGCAAGAAGCGCCACTTGCTGCAGGCCGCTTCATTGATCTGCTGTCACAAGTACAATCCAACGGAGTGGCCGCCACTATGTAACCAGAGGCAGACTGCCACTCCATTGTCAGTTCATAAGATATATTGCAATCGCTTACCTTAGTGCAAGAACTGACGCCCAAGTTTACTATTAAATGTTGATGCATTGTGCAAGTTTGAGAAACAGTTGTCAAAAATAAGTGGTTCAGTGTAACCATAGAAAGAATGCCTTTCCAATGTTATTCAGAAAAAAAATAAAATCTTTTGCATTAAGACAAGTTTTGTCTGAAAAGAAGAAGATTATTTAAATGTGCATGTATTGTGCTAGTTTGTACAACACAAGCTGCATGGGCGGTAGCAGCAGCAAACTGTTTCACAATTTTCAGAAAGCTCTGAAGTGTTGCTGTAAAATTTCAAACCTTGCCCTTAATTCATTTGATGCCGAAAAATGTTGATGTCTCTTCTTCCGCAAATCGAAAGTGACAAGATAACTTAAAAAAGGGAAACAGATATAAACTTGACGACGTTCAAGGATACAGATGTGAATTAGTTGTTAACAATTATAATGAAAAATTACTTTCCTGTATCGAATTACTTATTTGTATTTAGTTAGTTGAAGAAATATATATTTTGAAAATTTATTCTTCAATATTGGTGAATTATGAGAATTATGAATTATGAATTATGAGAGTAGGCGAGTCTTTTCCAATAAATTCGAATAGTAATTTAGAGCAAAACATATTTTCTACTCTTCATTTGTTGATTGTCCTTTATTTTAAAAACTAAGAAACTTTAATAATTGAGTAAATCATATATATTTGTGAATTATCATACTTAACAATATGTATAACGCTTTAAACAATAAGACCCATTTTAAGGTTACAGCGATTAGTAATTTCTCTGTACAGTAGTGCATAGACCCTACTCCGCGCAGACCTCAAGTTGCTCCGTAACATCAGTATTTACTAAGATAATTCCTATATATATTCATTGTATGGACGTTGTCTTACATTAGCCAGACGCATGGTTGAACGCAGTTGCCTCTACTGTCATGATCTGGATTACAGAGGAACAGCAGCCTTCAGTACAGTATCTACAATACCATCAATTACACGTAGTATTCGATCAAATGCATTAGCTCAATGTTATATAGTGGTGCTTAATGTTATATCGTGATAAATGCTATCTTTTTCAGAGAATCATGGCATTCATGTAATGTATATAACTATTGCGTCAGGTAATATTCCAGTAAGGCCTAAATAAAAACATTTGTAAGAATTTTAAAGGTTTAGGGAAAACTATCTACAACATAATGTTAAAATGAAATCTAATGAGAGCAGCATTTCATTCTGATAGTAGAAAGCAATTGTGATATTTCATGGTATTAATGAAGGTGTTCTTCATGTTTACAGTTAGAACTGTACGATGAACAGTTGAAGGTGTTCTTTGCCTCATGTACAGTTACGGTGCAAGAGATAATTTTAAGTAAAAACTTTGTGGTATTCAACCCTAGGGTTTTATGATCTCCTGATATCGAATTGAGAGTACATTAATTCGTTTGACTAGAAAATACAGGTGATGAAATCTAAAATGATTCATGAATAAGGAAAATTTGCTTGACAATAATTAGGAACAAGGCCAAAGTGGAGAAGAAACTATTACTTCGGGATGTTTATCTCCAAGAACTCAAATTTCTAGTTTTTCTATAACATTTATAAGCAGTAATTAGGTGGAAACCATTAAGTTTGCGATTGAAAATTATTCATACAAAACATTAACATCATCGTTGTGTGGTTGTGTTTTTTTTTTATTTATGAAAATTAGTGAAATGGGATACGCGCGTGACTCTGAAGTCAATAGATTAAACGGACGATTGTTCTTGACAAAAAAAACATTTTTAAGCCCAGAAACAGTACTCATTGAGCTCTGAAAGGCCACAGAATAATTTTTTTCTATCCTAATCATTCCAGTTTCCGAACTACTGAGCGCCTTTTGATGGAGTCAAGGAATTTTGGATTCTCATCAGCAATTTTTCTGCGAACGCTTCATTCATTCTCAACGAGATCTCATCGCACTAAATTGTCCTAATCGCTGCTTCGTTTTGGACGGGATGAAACCAAAAAATAAAAACGTGGAAAATTATTCGGAGTTTGAAGCTTTAAACCAGACGATGATGAAGGAAGGAAACGTTGCCATAGACAAATAAATAAAAGAGAAGCATAATTGGGCAACGGGAGTATAAGCTATCGACCGGGAACTACCATCCATTATGAATGTGAAACTCGCAAATAGAAAATTGTAAAAAAATGCAACTCAGTACTCACTGCAGTGAGTGACAGAGAGCGCATTTTCTCGTCGACGAAAACTTGAGGTCACGGACGGACGGACAGACAAACAGATGGACGGACATGGATGCAACGATTATTATATTATCATTTATTATATTTTCTACTGAGGATGCAAACTATTTTATAATTTTTAAAATTTTCACAAAATATATTTTTTTTCAGAAAATGGATTTAACCAAAATTGTTATTTTGGTTAATACATAAGTTGGATTGATACTCGAAACACAAGAGAACCATTTACAAAGAAGCTCATAATTATCAAAATTTTTGCTGATGAATAGCCCTTAATTTTCTTGTTCTATCGTTCTTTTTCCGATAAGTTTGCGTGTTGTTCGTTCTCAATAAGTTAATGATCAAATTTCAGCTGTAGTGATCTATCGATTTGTGTTTACAATTATTCAAACGAAATCCTTTCGAATCATTGGCTAGAATTATCAGGGTTTTCGATGCGTAAACATAA